TGCCGGCACCGGAGATTCCTCGGTTGAGAAAGAGTTCGCGTCTCATGTGTATAGCCTCTGCAAACACGGGCTTGACTCTCTTGTTCGTGACCACTTTCTCAGATCACTCGAGGTATTAAAATTACCTCTCTTTTTTTTATCCATACAACTTTTGATTCTACTGATTTTAGTGTAACAGTTGAAGAATGTTTCTTTTCTTGCGAACTTTGTTGCAGCAAGCTTTTGAGAAGAGGGGTGCATCGAGTTTCTGGCACCATTTTGATGCTTACAGCGATAAGAACCATCCTGTAAGCTTAGTTGATACTTTCTTTTTCATAGAAGATTCTGAAATTGTTCTTCTTTTGGATTCATAAGTTTTGACTAGAGAAATTGATGCTTTTGGACAGAGTTATGGAGAGGAGATTAAGGAAGTGTTGTGTAAGGCTTTGGAAGAGATATCTATAGAGAAGCAGTATCATGAGAAGTGTCTGTCCGTAGTGGTTCACGCTTTGCAGTCGTTCAAAGACCAGTCGCCGGAGGCTAGACTGAACTCAGATGTAGAAAGAGTTCAGCTTTTTTCCAGATTCCGGTCGATGTTGTCTTCAACTCTGATGACTACTCTTCCTCAGCACTTTCCTGGTATACCCATCTTCCATATCTTGTTCTTTGTTGACTTTTAACTCTGATTTTTTTGCTTGCAACTTTGTTCTAACCAAGCTCAATCATTACTCTCATATATTTTCTCTCTTTGTTATGTTTTTAGAAATACTCCACTGGTATTTTAAGGAAAAGCTGGAGGAGCTAAGCGCAATCATGGATGAAGATGATACTCAAGAACGTGAGAGCGATTGCATGGACTTGGACGAGAAGCTGAGATCTAAAAATGGAGAAATGGATGTTGATGAAGGTTTTTCAAGGCATGACGATTTGGTGAAGAACATTGGGAAAGTGGTCCGTGACCTTAGAAGCATTGGATTCACATCTATGGCTGAAAATGCTTATGCTTCTGCAATTTTTCTGCTTCTTAAGGTACTTTATGCATCAGAGATTTCATCTCCCTCACTAAGAATTATAATAACATGGTCAACGTAGTTAGTATGCATATAACTCTTACCCTCTTTGGCAATGTTATTATACTCCAGGCGAAAGTGCATGAGCTAGCTGGTGATGATTACAGGACTTCTGTTTTGGGGTCAATAAAAGAATGGATTCAGGTAGATTTTTTTTTCTGCTTAGCTTAGATTCTCACTGCACCATCATATTGTTTTGGAGACTCCTGACATGAAAATTCTCTTTCCAGACAGTTCCTCTTCAGTTCCTTAATGCGCTTCTTTCTTATCTTGGTGATTCTGTAAGTTACGGCACCACATCGTCTGGCCTCACGTCCCCTCTCGCTTGTTGTCCAACTCCAAGCTTTTCCAAAGTGGTGACTCCTTCCGAAGGAATTGTTAGGTGGAAATTACGCCTTGAATATTTTGCGTATGAGACACTGCAAGATCTAAGGATAGCTAAACTATTTGAGATCATTGTTGATTATCCTGAGAGGTAATAGTACTTTCTTCCTGCACATCTCACTTGAGACTTATTTCAAACATCTTGCATCTCTGATGGAAGTTTTGTTGATGCAACAGTTCTTCTGCTATTGAAGACTTAAAACAGTGTCTTGAATATACTGGACAGCATTCGAAGCTAGTCGAGTCTTTTATTTCTTCGCTGAAGTACCGTCTGCTCACTGCCGGTGCTTCGACCAATGATATATTGCATCAGTATGTGTCGACCATTAAAGCCCTTCGGGCAATAGACCCGGCTGGTGTGTTTCTTGAAGCAGTGGGTGAGCCAATCAGAGATTACTTACGAGGGAGGAAAGACACTATCAAATGTATTGTCACTATGCTCACTGATGGAAGCGGAGGGAATGCAAATGGTTCCGGAAACCCTGGGGATAGTCTTCTTGAAGAGCTGATGAGAGATGATGAAAGTCAAGAGAATGTTGGATTTGATGATGATTTTCACACTGATGATAAGCAAGCCTGGATCAATGCTTCTCGGTATGTTTTCTTGGTTCTTCATCTTCCATGGCATTTGGAAATCTTCTGACACATCTTTATCTGCTTTGTCTCCTCAGATGGGAACCGGATCCTGTCGAGGCTGATCCGTTAAAAGGCAGCCTTAGTCAGAGGAAAGTAGACATACTTGGAATGCTTGTTGATATAATTGGATCTAAAGAGCAACTGGTAAATGAATATCGTGTTATGCTCGCTGAAAAGCTTCTCAACAAGATTGATTATGACATCGATACTGAGATACGCACTGTCGAACTTCTCAAGGTAATCTCCAAATTTTGTCAACTCTAAAGTTTATCTTACCAAATCGTTTCTACAGTGTTGAATTTAGCTTTACCCTCTCTTATAATGCCAATAGATACATTTTGGAGAAGCTAGTATGCAAAGATGTGAGATAATGCTGAACGACCTGATTGATTCTAAGAGAGTGAACACTAACATTAAAAAGGCATCATCTCAAACAGGTTATATATCTGAATTGTTCTCACTTTTAATGCAAGTTCTTGTCTGAATCTTATAGTTAGTGTCTGTGTCCATTCCTCGGTTTTAGGAGCTGAGTTAGGAGAGAATGAGCTATCTGTTGATAATCTTACCTCGACGATACTTTCAACAAACTTCTGGCCACCGATTCAGGTATTTCATATGTTCTTCTTTCTGATTTTTCAGTCGTTACATCGTACAAATATATATGCATATGAATACGAGGGTCAATTTCAGGATGAGCCTCTAGAGTTACCTGGACCTATTGACAAGCTGCTATCAGATTATGCCAATAGATATCATGAAATCAAGACACCTCGTAAACTACTTTGGAAGAAAAATCTTGGCACTGTCAAGGTAATTTCTTGACTAGATACTTTAGTAGTTAATGATTCATGTTTTGTTAGTCTCAGAAGAAAGCTGATACTGATAAATGTAACTCTCTGAAATGGTTTTGGATGAATTTCAGTTGGAATTGCAGTTTGAAGACAGAGCTATGCAGTTCACAGTCTCCCCTACTCATGCAGCTATCATCATGCAATTTCAAGAAAAGAAAAGGTAACTACAAGAATCAATCAAGTATGGATCTTTTCTGCTCCTATGTTACTAAAATCATGTAAATCTTTCATTTCAGTTGGACTTCTATAGATCTTGCTGCAGCCATAGGGATACCAATTGAAGCATTAAACCGAAGAGTAAACTTCTGGATAAGCAAGGTACGTACTATAATTGTAGTCTTCTGCTTTTAAGTTTGAAGTTTAGACCATTGATTTGGAGGAAGAGCTAACTTGTAAAAGTCTCCTGCACTTAGGGAGTTTTGAGAGAATCTACAGGAACAGTGTCCAATGCCAATGTGTATACGCTCGTTGAGTCCATAACTGATTCTGGAAAGAACGAAAGCGAGGAGCTTTTAGCAGGTGATGAAGAGAGTGAGAGATCGATCGCCTCTGTGGAAGACCAACTTCGCAAAGAAATGACAATATACGAGGTATGTGATGATTGATGAATGCTTAAGTGGAAATTTTGATTCTACTAATCATATAAAATCTAAAAACAATTGTCAATAACTTTTTCAGAAATTCATCATGGGAATGCTCACGAATTTCGGCAACATGGCACTAGAACGAATCCATAACACTCTCAAGGTACACAATCGAAGGCACACTGATTTTTTTACAACAATGGTTCTGTTTTTGCTCTCAAGATCATGATCAGTTTTGCTCTGTTTTTTTTTGGTTTGTAGATGTTCTGTGTAGCTGATCCTTCTTATGACAAGTCTCTGCAACAGCTTCAGAGCTTTCTCTCTGGTTTGGTCTCTGAAGAGAAACTAGAGTTTAGAGAAGGAATGTATTTGCTAAAGAAGTAGACAACTCATTTTTACACTGTTACTTATATGACATGAACTAGTTCTGTCTTTTTGTATCAAAATCCTCTGTCCTTTTGAATGAAAACCTCTCTAACATCAAAATCTGAAAGCATTGAGCCAAAGAAACAATTTCACATCGAAGTATTTAACAATAAAAACAAAATAGTACTCATTATCAGAGTACTCAACAACAAAGAAACAATCATCTGTCCTTTTGAATGGTTCTAGGTTTTAATCAGCGAAAAAGTGGCTCTTTGTTCTAAAAATCCACCATTGTTTCGCTCTCTCATCCTCAAGGTTGTTGTGCTTCCAAATTTCGGAGGTTGCTTTTGGCCCAAGGCAAAATAATTAGTTTCCAAAATGTTAAAAAAAAAAAAAATCAATTGGTAAACTTCGTTGGAATGGCGGAACGGTAGAAAAACGCGATTCCGTAAAAATTTTGTCAATTAAAAATTTACAGAAAAATACTAAAATTCGAATTCTGTAAAATGGCAAAAATATTTACCAATTGCGTTTTTCTGTTATTCCGCCATTCCACGAAATTTACTAATTACTGAGTTTACTATTCTACAAAATTTACCAATCACGAAGTTTTACCATTCCACAAAATTTTATATCATTTAATTATATAATTAATTATAGTTTATTATTTAAATAAATATATTTCTACTGTATATATTTATATAATAATCAGATTATATATGTAGATTAAATTTTGCAATATATTTATATATTTTATAGTAAATAAAAATAAAAATAAATAATTACAATAAAAATTTTTTTTTTTTTCTAATTATATTAAAATTATGTTTTTTATAATAATTAATATTTTACTTTTTTATATCAAATTATATATAAAATATATTATTATAAAAAATTAATTTTATATATTTTATGTCATTTCACGTTCTATCATTCCATATAATTTATCCAATCATAATAAAAATAATTATTTTACTATTCTTCATTCTATCATTCTATCATTTTATAATTTAATTTTTTCGGCCATTCCACATACAATCAGAGAATTACATAAAAACTTAATTTTTTCGGCCATTCCACATACAATCAGAGAATTACATAAAAACTTACTCCTGAAATTAGGGTTTTGAGTTGCGCCGCCTCGTATACTCTATATATATAAATCGAGCTTCTCTTCTCCTCTCTCAAATATCTTCATACTTTCTTCTCTACCTTTTATTTCTGTAGATTTTCGACAGAGTTTTTCAGTTTTTGAATCTCTTTTTTTCTTTCGGATTTTGAAAATTTGGCAGCCCGATGAAGAAGAATTCCCAAAAGATAGGAAGTGCCGTATGACACTTTATACGCAGAAGCAGACTGAACGAGGAATGCATCCGGTTTGATCCCATTCCCCGATCAGTCGTCTCCGCCGTATTCGGATCCTTAACCCGGATCCTTTTACGGGTCGGGTTTCGGACTGCCCGGCCGGGTTATCTTACCGTACTTCCCACCGTCTCTGTGTCCGCTTCTGTGTGGTTGATTTTACACGGGTTTCTGATGGGTTTTGCTAATTATTGGTTTATTGTTGATTAGAAATTGTCCGATGCCACGTCGTCGATAGCTTTTTTTAGGCAATGATCTTCGGTGCTACATTGGACAGATACGAATGTTTGTGCTTCGCTTTTCTGATAGGAACCTGTAGATCTTGATTTGTTTTGTGATCTACGGAGCCAATTCGGCGATTACATTTTAAAATTTACGGTTTTTGAATCGATTTGTAGTGATTAATGGGGAAGAATCGATGATGATTATTGCTAAAGATATGGAATTACCGTCTGAGTTTTTATACTTTGATGTCAAAAACGCTGGCTTTACCTGAGACTTCCCTGTTCATGTAAAATTTGTTTTTTTTGTTTGTTCACCGGACAGTGACGATTGATATTGAAAGGTCTCGTTCGTCGTAATATCGGCCGTAAAAAAGCTTATTTGACGACCATTCTGTTATATCACCACCCATATTCTGAGTCCAATTTTTCTCTGTTTTTGTTCTGTGTTCTTTCTTTTGTTTATTTCGAATCAGCGCCGATGATTAAATCGATTAAGACAAGCATATGTCTGAATTAATCCGTGTTGTTAATCCTAATCTTCTCAATGAGGCCGATTCTGTTATTATTATTAGTTGGTATTTCTTGGTGATTTAGATTATGATGAGAAATTGTCCGATGCCACGTCGTCGATAGCTTTTGGGCAATGATCCTTGATGCTACATTGGACATATACGAATGTTTGTGTTTCGCTTTTCTGATAGGAACCTGTGGATCTTGATTCTCTTGTGATCTACGGAGCCATTACGGCGATAACATGTTGAATTTATGAGTTTTTAAAAAAATTCTACGTAAGAGTTGTTAATGGGAAGAGTCGATGATGATTATTGCTAAAATATGGAATTACCGTCTGAGTTTTATTACTTTGATGTTAAAAACGCTGGCTTTACCTGAGACTTCCTTATCTGTAAATGTGATTTTCTTTTTCGTCTGGACTGGTAAGATTGATTTAAGGTCTCGTTCGTCGTAATATATAGGCCGTAAAAAGCTTATTTGCCGACCATTCTGTTATATTCTGAGTCCAATTCTGTCTGTTTACATTTGATATTCTTTTTGTTTTTTGTTTTTTGTTTTTTCTCTTACAGTATTTAGTATTGGCCTATGATTAAATCGATTAAGACAAGCATATGTCTAAGGCAATCCGTGTTGATAAGCCTAATCTTCTCAATAAGGCCAATTCTCATTACTACTCATGTGTTGTTATTTCTTGATGATTGTGATAATTAGAAATGGTTCCAACTGAGCAATGACTATAGTTTTGATGATCTAGGTTTTGAAACTAGACTTTTGAGATTGGTTTAGTTATAATTGACTTTGAACATTGATATCAGTATTGGTACTGGTATGATTATTTTTGTAACTCAGTGGGTTGAGCAATGTTAGAGTCCCTTTTTGAGCATTGGGTCAGTTTCAAGTTCTTACTAAGACGTCAGAACCTTGTTATACTGCTACTCATGTTTCTTTTGTCTTAGGTCTTGCATATTTGTCTTCGTACTTGGTCAGTTTCAAGTGTTCGGTCCGAACCTTGTATAACTGCAGTCAATTTTCACTAGTGTCTATAAATCTGTCTTCATTTGTTGTTTTTTAGAGAAGTTGCATTGTGATATTGTTTTTCTTCTTCACTACTAATTCAAAATACTAAAAGAGTCTATTATCAATCAAAGACAGCCTGAAACTTGAACATACGGTAAGAAGGTAACATTTACACTATATGTGATGAAAACATTAAACGGCCACAACAAAAGAAGAAACTGCGATTTCAGATTGATTTATGCATATTTATCCGCAATCTCCAAGAGAAGAGCGCATACTTCTTTAGGCTTGGAGAACATTGCCATATGATCTGCATCTTTGATCTCCATTACTTCTTTTGGCGGAAAGTTGCTGATTATCAAACGCTGATATTCCTCACGCACTAACTGATCCTCTCCGCAAACTATATAGATACGTTTAACGGATCCATACCCTTCCTCACTAAAGCTCTCTGTCCCTGCAAGATTGTCCGAACCTAATGAAGGGTTTGCCCTCGCCAACAACTTCGCCAATTCAAGATCCTAAAACCCACAAACAACAAACAATCAACACAAGATTGGACTTGAGGTCTGATAACTTAAATCAGAGGTTTGAATGATTAAAGCTTACTTGGACCGGAGACAGTTGATAAAGATTCTTGGCCATGAACTTTGGTCCGAAAAGAACAGAATGTGCAGGACGATCAGGTGTTCCATAGCTGCGAACCACATTGTCCAACAACTCTTCTTGTGGCATGCTCGGGACCAACTGCAGAATTTCAACTCATATACAATCAGAATCAGTTGTAACGTGATCTTAAACTGATCGAATTAGAGAAGTAACAACACCTTTTCGAAAACGTGAGCAGGCGGGTTTGTTGTGTCGGGCATTGAAGCTGTCAAGAAGACAATAGCGGAGATCTTATGGGGGAAGATGTCGGCGGCGAGAGCAGCCGGTATGCCTCCCATGCTATGAGCTACAAGAATCACTTTTTCGTCAAGCGAGCTTAGAAACTCAAGCAACGGTTTGGAGTAGTCTTCTAGAGACTGAATCTCTTCCGCTCTGCTCGTGCTTATACCCGATGCAGCCAGATCCAGTGCGGTCACGCTGTGACCGGCAGCTTCCAGTTCCGGTATAATCTTGTACCAAGACCATGCGCCATGGCAGACCCCATGGATAAGCACAAACCGCTTCTTGTTTTTCCCCATTTGACTACTTTTCTTTTTCTTACAGCCTGTTTATTATTTCCTCATGAGTTGTGTAATAAATATATCTTTGTATCCTATCGCTGAGATGCGTAAGATTTGGACAAGTGCTAACAAAGTCTGCCGAACGTTACTATTATTAGATATTATTATTTCTGACCTTACCTAGTGGCAGATTTAGAACAATGTTCAATTAGTATAAATGTATGGAATCTTGTAGAAATAATGGAGTAGAAAGGTTAGATCAGTGAAAGTTATGATTCTTCTCTACACAATGTTCAGTTTTTTGGTTGCACATAGAAAATGCAAAAACAAAACATGACTTGTTAAAACTTTATTACGGTTTCTGCATACACAATGTTTTAACTCTTCATTGAGTCTCACATTCCATTGAATCAAAACACAAACAGACAAGTTATTTTCTTTTACAGACCAAGTATTGCTTTGTACCGCTTTCGAGAAGCAAATCTTCTCTTCTTGGTGAAGAATTTATACTATTTACGAATCTACATTTTATGACAAGTATGAGAGGACTGATATGAAGCTGGCCATCAAAATGTGATTGTTGAACCAGAAAATTACCATTAGGATTTTGATTATCAATTGTGGGTTTCAAAGAATAAGATTTTTATTAATAGTTTAAAAGATGAAGCGATTATAAAGGTTGGTATAACCGAAGAGTTATGCTGAAGTGAAAATATTTGCGAGATAAACTAGAAAGCGTTAAAGTTTCTGGTTTAGGCTCTGCTGATCTCTAGATTGTATGAGTTATTCCTTTTGAGCTCCGGGGCCTTCTTATTTATAGGAATAGGAGGTTGGTCGCTCCGAGCTCCTTTTTCTTTTATCCTTTGGTGAATATTTTCATATTTGCGCTATGAAAATATCCCTTATTCTCCGAAGAATATATAGAAAATCTCCTTTATCATTTGAGTTGATCTGATGCTTCCGGACTTCAAAGATTATCTTTAAGATTTTTCATATTTTAGAGCTTGGTCGGCACGATCCTCCTGGTCTCGATGGGCTTAGGTTATTGCTAGAGAAAACCTTTTAGGAAATGTGCTCATTTCCCCTCTAACAGTAAGTCCCCCCCTCCCCCCAGTTCAGCGAGACTGATTATAAATCAAGTCGGCGGATTTCATGAAGTTAAGTGGGTTTGATCTCGCAATAATCATTAGTTCGTCAATAGCGTTTCTCCGCGATGGCCAGCTCGACCCATTTTTTAGGTGGATTCGATACGTGGCGCTTCCTTTAAATAAATTTATTTAAATATTCGACCCATTAAATTTTTACTTCGAGCGGGAAAGGCGAAAAGTTTTACAGACAGTAAGATTATGCGAATCTCGACACGCGTTCTTTACTGTATTTTGATTGTATTTATCTCTTCGTCTTCTTGTTGATATTTCTTCTGATTTTTTACTGTATTTATCTCTTCGTCTTTTTGTTCAAAAAACTTTACTTTCTTCAGATTCGTTTTGCAAAATTCATCTCTTCGCTGCAATAATCTTCTTTTCTCGCAGATCTTCCTTCTTCCCTCTCGATTTTTCCAAAAATTTCTTCTTTTGAAAAATGTCGACGACATCGCATAGTTCTTCCTTTGACGACGACGATGTTTCTTTCGCCGAGTGCGCTAGGCGAGCGTGGATCAGCCCAGCTCCTTCTTCTCCCTCAAATTCAGAGGGGTCTTCAGGTTATCGAGATGCGATTTCGCCAGATTACTCTGATATAGATTCCAAGATGGAATCATAGGGTTTCGGGCCAGCGGGCTGGATTGAGGGTATCCCGCAGAAGATAGCGATATCGGAACATAAAACTGGCATTAAAGACGGGAGGACCTGGATGACCGCTGTCACACTTCAAGAGCTTCGTTCGAGGTGCAGCTTTTCTGAGGAAGTCGAGCTTCTGCTTCCCCAAGTTCAAGAGAGAGTAATAACACTGCCAGATGGTTACTTGTGTATTTATGAATGTCATTTCTCGGAATTCGGTCTTCAATTTCCTATTTCGTCACTTCTTTGTTACTGCAAACGGAGGAAGATGCCAGTGGCGCAGCTCTCTCATACCGCGATTCGTCACTTCGTCAGTTTAACGGCGGTTGCTCGAATGGTGGAGGTGCCTTTTAACTGGGATTTCTTCGAGAGGATTTCAATCTTGAAGAGCGGAAGGTTTAATCGTGGGGGATGGCATCATTTCTATACTAGGCTGAAGCAGGGGATCGTTGGCGGGGACCCGACAAGCAAGGTCCACGAGTGGGACCGTTTTTTCTTTTATATGAAGATTAACAAGGCTTCTACCAGCAGTTCCGAGCTTGACTTATTCAGGACTTGGAGGTCGAAACCTTGTAAGCTGAGCTGAACTTCACTGTTTATTCTCTTTCTACATTTTTTAGCTAACTTTGAGATTTTGACATGTTTTTTACTTCTTTTGACAGTGTCGATCAGCCTTGGGAAGGACCCGTTTGGTCTGGATGTTGACATCCAGAAGCTGCGCAATCTTAGCCAGGAAGTGTGGCCTGAAAAGGAGAAGAAGGGTCCTTCGGAGAAGAAGAAGAAGAAATCGGCCAAGCCAACTGAGAAGAGGGCTCAGTCTTCGAATGCAGGTGCGTTGGCGAGCCAAAATGACCTTGCAAATTTTCCCGTTTTTGGTTTTCATAGCATGGTGCCTTATTGTCATGTATTTCGATGCTTTCAGCTGCTAAAAAGACATCGCGACCAAGATCCGAGGGTATGGGTCTCAAGAGGAGAATATCGACTCCGGCAGTAGAGATTGATATCCCTACCAATACCTCCTCGAAGCGGAGGAGAGCGACTCCTCCAGCTGCACCTATACAGGTGGACTTGGGTGAGGCCGAGCTGGCTTTAGAAGACGAATGTCTTGCGAACAAAGCCGCAAGGTATGGATTTATTATTGATTGCTAGTGTATTGGTGTCGTTTTTTTTGGGGACGACATGACTCCTGATGCGTTTATCATTTTTTTAGCTTCTCCAAGACTGCAGCGCAGGAAAGGCTGAGGCGAGCCGAAGCTGAGAAAGCTACAGAGACTCCGTTGGGTGAGTCTGTTCAGGAAACCGATTCTCGGGCTGATGATGAGGATGTCGAAGGCTCCTATGATGTTGATATGGCTGGTGGTGGGGCACCCCTTTTTGCCTAAGGAATTTCCTCCCCACAGGGTGTTAACACTCAAGACACCAGAGATGCAAGTCGGGATGAGACTGGAGGTGCTGCAACGGGTGCTTTCACATAGCCTAAGCAGAAGGAGGAGTTTTTCAACTGCAATCCTCATCACCTCAGCCTAAAGTGGGATGGCGTAACGCTGGTGATGCTAAATCGTGAATTTGCCGCAAAGCTTATCTGTAATTGTAAAAAGAACCCAAGATGGGGCAAACCTTGAAGCTGGTGCTGTCGATAATCTCGGTGAATCATCTGATCGGCCAGGTATTTCACACAAGGTGTTTTAATTATATCGTTCATGCGCACGTTCTGAGAATGAATTGTGGTGCAGGGCTTAGGAGCGTATATGTCCGCATTTGAGACGTATAAAAAGGATCTTCGCGAGGAGATGAAATTAGATTGTGCATTCACAGAGTTTGAGAAGCTTCAAAAACTTGAGGCGGAAGCTGAGCAGCTCAGGGCGAAGTGCTCTCGTCTCAAAGACACGGTGGACGTCCTTAAGCTGGAGGTGGCGGAGTCATCTCGACTTCGCAAAGAGATTGCAGTCCTCAAAGCGCGAAATAAGTCCCTTGAAAAGCAAAACAAGGAAAATACGAAAAATGTTCCTTGCCGAGAAGGAGAAGCTCAAGGGTTCTTGCGATGAGGTGGCACGAGATGTTGCTGACAAGGTTTTTGGTAGTATGACCTCTTGGTTTAAGCTGCGAATAGAGTGGATTCAAGCGTCGCTTGTCCAGCAAGAGGAGGTTGAGGCTGCCTTGATTGGCATGGAATAGAGCGGCGCTATAGAGGCGTTCTTGAAGAAGATGCAGGAAAAGGGATTGGAACTTCCCGCTGCTTCCATCTTTTGAGAAAGAGTTCGCTAAATGGCAGGCGGTCAGCAAAACTATCGATGAGATCGTCATTAATGAAGACGATCTCACTTTGCCAAGCAGGTCTGTTCCATCTGCTCTTCCTTTTTGGTAATAAGAGGTTCTCTCTTTGGTTTCCTTATTGTTTGCGTTTATGTGATAACAGGTCTGCTATTGACGAGCTGCTAAAACAAGCACAAGGAGAGATGACGGAGTCAAGAGACGAGCCGAACTGAGCCTGTTTATCTCTCTTTTTTGTTGTATTTCATTTGGCTTTTTGTGTAGCCTTGTATGCAATGACGTTGTCCGAAAGAGAGTTTAATTTATTTTAAATATGGCTTTTTAGCGAAAGTGACTATCTTTTTTTTTTTAAAAGTCTTTGCACTGCTATGGATCTTTATAGTCTGGTGTTGGAAGCGGGATTCCTTTGCCCGTCTTATACCAAATGACAACAAGATCGAATCCCAAGCTTTCAAGATTCACCTCGGCCTGAAAGGTATGATCGAGGGTTGTGCGAGTATTATCCTCGGCTTTCGTCTTATCTATTTTAAAAGTAATTAAATCAAATCGAAGTATTAAAAAATTGGTGATCAGCCACAAAGTTAGTTTTATTTATTTATTTAAGCTCTTTGAGTCGAATGTTTGGCCAGAACATCGACTCGGCTAAATGCATCTGCATACGAAAGATTGCTCTACGTGCCAAGCTGATTTTCCAAAAATAGAAGTTTATTAAATTTACAGCTGCATCCGGAGGTTGCCTACATATCCAAGTTGGGATCAACCCGTTCGTAGTTATTTACAATTATTAAATGAATATTTTCACTCGAGGCCAAGCCGCCTTACTTTATTGATGCCGAGAATAAAAACTAAATATAAAAGCTGCGAGATTCTTGCCGAATTTAATCCATTTTCTTAGTGTCCTCAAGGGCTTTTGCCGCGGTGAGTCGCACCTTGCGTTCGCTGATGAAGCAAGACCTTGCCATCTGCTGATTGCTGCATAGTATGAAGATGCCAGCTGAGGTAGCGAACTTCATGCACTAGTGGTAGGTCGACACAATGGATTTCATCTCGTGGATCCATAGTGTGCCAAGTATTACATTATAGATCGCC